GAAAATAACTGTCACTTTAGCAAGCTGAATTCTTAAGCTAAATGCCTTTACTTTGGTCTTTTTATTTAACTGTCATCTGGGTGAAGGTAAAAAACAAAATTGTCACGGTTTTGTAGTGGTCAGCAGTTTGAATGATTCACATTTCAACATGGCCCTGGGACAACTGTGGGCCTTTTCCAGGTGGTTTTTGGCACTACCTTCATGGCTGGTCACACCATGTGTTTTACCTTGGAGACTGGGAGAATAATAATAATGACCCCATCTCTTAGAGAACCACGGCTTCACTCTGGCAAAGGTTCCAAGCCAAAATTCTAAGATGTTAAGTTCTAGGATGAGGAGTTCCCAAGAATCAGGTCACTCAGCCTCTCTTTCCCCAGTGTTCAGCAACAAGATAATCCTTGGAAGGCTCTCAAATCAGCTCTCTGGCTGAGGTAAGGTCTGATGTCAGAAATGAACTCTAATAGGATTTGAGCCAAACATTGTTGTATAAATGACTTTGCCCAACTGGAAACACAGCCAAAGGAAATCGGTCAGTAATGATTGACTTCTTTGTGATTGTATATATTGTTCTATCTGCGATGCTTAAGAGTAGAAGAAATTTCTAGCATCCATTTTTAAAGTAAAGAATAGTAAAACAGAAAAGGGCAATCTCTCTTTTGATATTTAATATAGTGTGTAATAATTATACCATATTTTTCATTTGGGAAAACAGTGGTTTCTACTATCCATGAAAACTAATGATTGAACTGAAGAGATGGCTCAGCAGTTAAGAGTACTGGCTGGTCTTGCAGAGGACCCAGGTTTGGTTCCCAGCACCACATGAAGACTAACAACCTTCTATAACTCCAATTCCAGGAAATTCAAACCCTCTTTGACCTCACAGGTACTGCATGACATGGGTAAACTTACATACATCCAAGCAATAAGCTATACATAAAAAATACAATATTTTTTAAAACAATTAAGAAATTTTACTAATAAGTAAGTATTAGTTCACAGGGTGTACAGTTTTCTGTCCTATGTCTCTTTTATCGTCAGATCATTTGTTTATGCAAAGTTCAAATATGAACCCTCAGTTAAAAATCCCCAGCATGACCTTTCATGACCTTATGTATGATAAAAGGGATAATACATACTGATCTGTTCTTTATATACCCTTTAGATAAGTTAAGAGGAAGTAGAAAGATTGTAAGAGCCAATGGGACAGGATGCACACTGCTAGATACTGCCTTCCAAAAATGACAGGGATGCTGTACCTATGAAATATCAACAATATGATTGCTTAAATAAGACCTGAATAATGATAAGACCAATTGACATGCCAACATGGATGGAGGAAATTTCACAAGGTCCCAACTCTAGATGAATAACTACAGACAATTAATGGCTGCTGAGAAAGAGAATCAGTTTTTGCAAGGACAATCTCTCTAATAAATTTTCCAAGTGGTCAGCACCAAAGACATGTTCACTAGCACCACTAAATGGACTCAGAGGTTATTTATATCTCTCTCTCTTTCTCACACACACACACACACACACACACACACACACACACATACACACACACACATAAATATGATAAAGAAGAAAATAGGGTATTGAGAGGAAATGAGGCAATATGGGGAGAGGAACAGGTGGAAATGATAGAAATGCAGTACTTGTGTATGAAATCCTCAAAAAGGATGTTAAGAGGATCATTATTGTAGTTACTCTTAAAAAATTATATCTTTGAAAACATCGTAGAAACAATAATAGGAAACCTTCAACAATATATGCTGAAACTCTCTTTTGAATTAGAAATGAATCCTGGAAACCCCTGTTAGTCACAGTCATAACCTTCAAGAGACTCATACTCTAGTAAAACAAAGAACATGTGAACACAATAGTCATGATTCAAGCAGACTCTAATGAATGAAATGCTACAAATGCTAGAAAGTTTATGAGAGGTAATTCCCAGCAAGTGCAATAGAGACAGCATCATAGGAAAGAAGCACTTCTTCTTCTATGATTTGAGTCATCAGAACAAAGCAGACCTTCAATAGAGATAAGATACAGATTCATAGCATGAAGTGTGGAAAGTGTTCATGATAGTTGAGGATTTGTTATACAGAAATCAAAATGACATGATTTGGAGCTAATGTAAAAGGAAGAGAAAATAGAGAGTTGAGACTATAAAGCAGGATCAGGTGAAAATTGCAGAGGGCCTTCAATACTGTCCTAAGAACTCTGAACTTTATTTTCTGTTAAATGGGGAGCTGTGGAAGTTCTGATCAGGTAAGTAGCATGCTGACATGTGTTCAAAAAGATAACTTCAGTGGCAACATAAATAATAGATTTTCAGAAAAAGAAAATCCAGGAAAGCACATTAAAGGAGTGTTATAATAGTCCAGGAGGCAAGCAGGAATGATTGATATGAACAGTAACCCCAAGTCAATCAGCAAGCCAACTCTATGACATTGGCTGGGCAAAAAGATATGTGAATTAAAAAAAAAGGGATGTTTCAGGCAACAGCTGAGTTATAAACTTGTATCTAGATAAGCTATAATAGGAAACGCTGACTGGGGAAGGGAGATCCAAATTTGTTAGAAACATGTTAAAATTTTTGAAAGGGAGCAATTGTACTTATAATAACAATTTCTTTTACAATCTTTTAGAAACAGTATCAGTGAATTGATGGGACAAACACCAAATCTCATAGAGTTCAAGGAGTGCAAATAAATGCGTGAAAGCCATGGATGTAAGCTATTCTTGAGAGATTTACAGCTTACTGGGCTGGCCATGAATTCTTGGACCTGTCAAATTTACTTCTTAACTTCTTTTATCTTAAAGAGAAATATTTTTATTGGGAATGTTTATATCTAAAAGGTATTAGAACACCACATGGAGTTGCAGAAAAAGAAGGTAACTGGGTAACTGACAAAGTTAGTTGACATGGTAGTAAATTTAAGAAGACAGTAATAACAGAATATTGCTAACTAATGTTACCGAATTAAGAACAAAAGAAGTATGTTTTCAGAAAGAGAGAAGAAGCTACTTTTTACTCATCTTAAACAATTGTATGTGGGCACTTCTGGTTATTTTTTAGTTACTTCATCTTATTTTCCTTGTGAAGCTTAAAACAAACATCTTTACCTAATTCAATTTTTCTTTATAATAAAAAATTCCAGGGGCTGGAGAGATGGCTCAGTGATTAAAAGCACTGGCTGCTCTTGCAGAGAATCCACATGGCAGCTAATAATCATCCCTAATGCAAGTTCTAATGGAATTTGATGCCCTCTTCAGACCTCTGAAGGCATTGCACAACACAGTTGTACTTACACACATGCAGGTGATACACTCATACACATAAAATGAAAAAAATAATAAAATATTTTTGAATTCTAAATAACTCATGCCAGTAAACGTTAATAACTGAAATAAATACTGAGTGAGGTTTTCCAAGGTGCATTTCACTTTTATCTATGGAAGGCTTGTGGAGGATAAGAAGGCAATCATGTATATGCCACACAATAAAAGGAAAAGTGAAAATCTAAGACACAAATTCAAGACACTCATTTCAAATAAAGCAGCTTCAGAGAAAATAGAGAAATACAAGAAAGTAGGAATAAGGTGCTAAGAGGCTAGAGTAAACTGGATGATAAAAACTGGTTTGATATAATAGGATGCTATTATTTAATCCAGGAAAATTTTAGAAAACGTTGATTTATATACAATGATAATTAAAGAATAGGGAAAATTCAGTGATAGGTTAAAGAAACATGTCACATACAGAGATGACTGAAAAGAGTAGAAAACATTATACTGAATAAGTCACCAATGTTTGTACTAGCTTAGAATGCAGAAATAGGATCTTAGTAGATGAAAGGAGGTTATTGCTGTACACTGGCAGCATACAGAAAGTTACTAGGGAGATTATTGAGTTGAAAACACTTTCAGGAGAACCATCTTAGTTTGTATGTTAGTTAGTTTGGTACTTAGTATCTCAGTTTCTTCACCAAGTATTGTGATAAATTATCCTAGCAAAAGCAACCTAAGGTTTATTTTATCCCACATGTAAGTCTATACAGGGTAAAATGGTGACAGCAGTTGCTGATGAACTCAGAAACAATGAATCTTGCACGCACTGGCTGGCCTTCTGCTTTCCTCACTTTTAATATGTCCAGGTCTCTAGCCTATTAGATGGTGCATCCCACATCTAGGATGGCTATTTCCTCCTCAGTTACTGTCCCACATGCCAGACACACATGGAAGTGTGCTTTGTTAAAACTCCTTTTCATTTCTCAGTATAATCAAGGTAATCAAGACTAACCATCACACACATTCCCAGAGAAAACCCATCATTACCCCAGTATCTTTACTTCTTCCCTCTTATCTCACATTCTACAATATTTCATTCACATGATCATATTTTGGGTTCTCTCATCTATAGAAACTACTATATATCATAAATCATAATCCAAAATATCCTTTTTGAAGCAGAAGTTTATAGTGAAAAATATCAAAATGTATGAAACAAAAGTATTGCTGAAAAAATAAAGCAAGCACAATTTCCTGTTGCATTATACTAAGACATTGTGCAGCCTTGATCCCCATCAACTCAATGTGGCTATTGTCAGTCTCATTATCATTTAGTAGTATTATTGTTGTTATGACAGTAGATATCTGTAGCTAATTCTATAAAATGTATACTAACAACAACCTACTGATTACCCAGAGTAAGGCTTCAGTCATAAGAATGTGAACTCAAAAAACTCCCAAAGAACCACAAAAGGATAAAAATAGAGAACCACACATAATCAAACTGACAAAAAAATGAGAAGAAAAAAATCTAAAAGCCAACAAGGGGGAACAGTAATCACTTAGCAAAGTGAAAATAATGACTGATATGATTAGACATAATGGAGACCAGAAGACAATAGAAAAGCATCATAAAATGAATAAAAGGCTTATCAGCTCAGAATTCTATATCTAATAGGACCACCCTTTAAAAATGAAGTGGAATACTTACCTAGAAGAGGAGATACCATGATCATGAAGTAGTTTTCTCAGGGTGATGCTCATCCAGTGTACTCTGGATGATGTGCTAACCCCTGCAATTTCCCCAAATGTGGGAAATTCAACTCTATAATTTGTGCTGGTGATGAACTGTATACATGCTCTTCCCTGGAAGAAGAGGAAGGAGGAGGAGGAGGAGGAGGAGGAGGAGGAGAAGGAGGAAGAGGAAGAAGAGGAAGATGAGGAGGAGGAAGAGGAGGAGGAAGAGGAGGGGGAGGAGGAAGAGGAGGAAAGGAAGAGGAAGAGGAAGGACAGAGGAGGAAGGGAGAAGGAGAAAGAAAAGGGGAAGAGGAGGAGGAAGAGGAGGAGGAAGAGGAAGAAGAGAAGGAAAAGGAGAAAGAAGACAGTAAAAATAAGGTGGAGCACATGACCATGGCTCATATAGCACTCTAGAGGCTAAGGCAGAAGGATTGCCATGAGTTCGAGGTTAGTCTTGACTGTGTAGTAAGTTTCAGGAAAGTGTAGGTCCCAGTAAAACCTTGTCTCAAAGAAAATTAAATAATAAAATAAAATAATAAAAGGTAGAGATAAAAGTATTTTCAGAGGAAAAAAAAATGGAGTGAAACCCGATCCTACCAGAGTATCTCTATGAGTAAGGCTTAAAGTAGATCCTCAAAATGAGGGAAATGAATTCTGAAGAAAACCGTGATTCACAGATAAGGACAAAAGCATAGACATGTTCAGTGTAGTTCTGGAGTCTGAAATCTTGTGATAAATGATAGGAAAACATCTTTTTAAAGATAATTTCCCTCTAGTTAGTGAAATTGTGTACATTTCCCTTGTAAATAATAGGTAACTAATGAATTTGATATGCAGATATTCCATACCGTAAGCACAAACGTTTAAAATAAAGATTGGATATAGGTGCACATATCTTTTCATGAAGATTGGAATAAAGCTGATCAAAATTGGTTCTAATCCCCAAAATTAGTTTAGACAACCTTACTGTTGATTTCTTAGAGCAAACAAGACTTAAAGCTCCCAGAATTCAAGAAACTACAGGAAAGAACACATAGGTCATATGGGTGCCAAAGACCCTAAGATGATTTCTTTTTTAGATCATAGAATTAATGTGATTGAGTATCTAGAGTATATGGAAAAATCTGAGACTTGATGTAGAGATCACAGAAACTTTACCTGCTTTGAAACAGGTACAAAAGATGTCAAGAATGTCCTTTGAGGAAGCAATCTGAAGAGATTTTTATGCTGAAACCCAGTGTAAATACACTTACTTCCAGCAGACTATTAATTTCACTAAATCCTAATCTATCTCATACTGCTGTTAATGCCTAAGGAGTGCCAGTGTATCCTAAAAAACTCACACATACACACAACTTAGTTATAAATGTGGGTTACAGCACAGAGTTTTGTAGGAGTGTGCCATATAGTATTTTAATTAATATATATGGTTGTTACATTTGTGGGAAAAAAAGGAAATCTGCTTACAAAATGATCTCTTTTCTGAATCACAGCTCATCGTTATACATTTTAAAGGGAGTTTCATCCTAGTATATCTTTGATATATTGGATAGAGGTGATCAAATTTTAATTACAACTAAAACATAAACATACTAAAAAGTTAAAGAATGCTTTTAACAGAAAAAGGATTTATGTTTGGGTTTTGTTTAGAGAGGCCAGTGCTGAAGGCCAAAGACTTACCTTGGTTTTACTAAGTCCATCATCAAAGATGGCTTTCCTCATGCACCAGTTTCCTGAGCCACTCACAAATCATCTGGTTTTTCTTTCTATTTAGATAGGAAACCTCTGCTTAGATCACATGTCTGGCCCGCACTGGGGTCTCAAGATCATCTTTATCAACACTGTACATCATTTTGATCATCTCATCCATTTATATATATATTTTTATTATTTTTTATTTTATGTGTACACGTGTATTGCCTGCATGTCGGCACCCATGAAATGCCCGCGGAAGACAGAAGAGGCTGTGGGATCCCCTGGAACTGGAGTTACTGGACAGTTGCTAGCTGCCATGTGGGTGCTGGGATTAGAACTGCAAGAATAGTCAGTGTTCTTAACCACTGAGCCATCTCTCCATCCCCCCATTGTTTATTTGGAAGTTCCTCAGAGTATAAAGTACAGAATGAATACTCGGTGTTCTCCGTTGAAACACATCTGGCATAACACTTTATTTCATCTATACAACCACCAAAAGCAAAATTGATAAAGGTGCACAGTTTCTTTCACCACTTCCTTTCTCTCTTTTATTTACTAACTGAATCCCAGATGTGGGTATTTAACTTTGTGTTCTCTCCGCTGAGAAATTACTTCACATCTTTGCTGACTCATGAGCTGTATACACAGATGCCAGAGGTCATTTCCCGCTAGAGTATTATATTTTGGGAGCAGAACACTAAATGGTTTAAAATAACAAAAGTGCCATGCTCATATGTCTGGGGTTATCTTTAGAAAAGTCTTGTGATTATATTGCAAAAGGAGAAAATCTTTCAAAGTTAATAGAATGTCCTTATTTATATGAATAATTTAGTATAATAAATAAAAATGATTATATTGAAGAGAAGCAATGCTAACAAGTATGAAATAAAGCATCAGCAGTGTATAGGAACATGATCAAGTGCTCAGTAGGGCAGGCTGAAAAATGTTGAGAAGATTCAGATGACTGGGAATGCAAATAGTAAAAACATTTCATGAAAGCAAAGCATGACTTTGATTAAAGGTTAATCTCAAAACGTAAATACAGTTTGAATTGTTTATTTTTTGTATTTTTTTTTTTGTTTGTTTGTTTGTTTGTTTTTTTGGTCTTTTTGAGACAGGGTATCCCTGTAGCCCCAGCTGTCCTGGAACTCACTATGTAGACCAGGCTGGCTTGAACTCACAGAAATCCACCTGCCTCTGCCTCCAGAGTGCTTGGATTAAAGGCATGCACCACCACGCCTGGCTGAATTGGTATTTTTAAAAAGACAGACATAGAAAGTGATGTGAGCAATATTATGGAAGAAAAATCATGTGGTAGGGTAGAAAAAGGAAGTCAAATGAAATTGTGATGACTGCAACAAAAGACTTAATAAAGAATAGAGAAAAGGCTGGATCAATAATTAATGTATTATTTTATTTTAGAGACATTGAAAAGAATAATATGAAAATTAAATGTGATATTTTGGACCATAGGCAGCTCTGTGTGTTTCCCTTAGCTAGCAGAAAATGTGTTTCAGGATGCCCAGTGTGACACCCAGATCAACGTCCAATAGGAAGAGAGAATACAGAGTACAAACTGGATGCCACCACAATAATCCAGATAGGAAATTACAAAATTGTGACTTAGCATGATGGAAGATGGAATCATTCCAACTGAAGAGACACTTAGAAGTAACACTGTATAAAATTTGTTAGTAGTTGGGGTCATGGAATTATTAATCCAATATGTGGAATACTTTATGATGCTGGAAAACGAAGAGGGTTAATAGAGCTATTGGTCAAAATACTGACAGGGACTGGAAAGTAATTACAGCATCTTCATTTAAACATGAGATTAAAAAGGAATATCTGCATGGAATTTTGTAGGAAGAGATGAGAGTTGGAGTACAGATAAATCAGGACTGTTAATGTGCTGAGCATCGTTTACTTTAAGTCAAAAAATAGATAATGTTCACTAACGCACTGGTGGCTCACCTCTCATTTTAAGTTTATCTTTGTGTCATGGTTAGTTTTATACGTCGCTCAATGGGCCATCCTCTATTTTGGTGTGTCTGAGATGGTATTCTTGCCTGAGATTAATGTTTGAACTAATAAACTGAGTAAAGGAGACTATCCACCCCAATGTAGGCTGCTGTCCATGCATTCAATTGAAAGTTTAAGTAGAACAAAATGACCATACATTCTTGATCTTGTCTCTGTCATTGTCTAGTGTCATAGTGTTAATACATGATCAAATCGGTTTAGAAAAATGACTCAACAAATGAAGACTCAAATTTTAATGAGTCCTAAAGAAGAGAGAGAACTGGAAATGATGAAATAAGTGGAAGCTGTAAAAGTTAGTGCAATTTAGAAAGTTTTCTGCATTTACTACTGAAAGGTTGGAGAGAATAGGAAATTAGTAAAGGGGACTAGGACAGGGATGAATACCACTGAACTATATTTGAACACAGACTATTGATTCTCTTATACTTAATCCTTTCTTTTAGTAGAGAGGAGAGACTATTTTTAGAGACATAAAATAAAGAAGGGAATATGTGAAGAAAAATTGCAAAAATTAGTCATAAAATCAACACTATTTCTAATTTGCTTCTTATACAGTCTTGGATGTAAGATCCCTTAAAATGAGAGTTTTTGTTTTTCTCTCACTAAATTGGATGGCTCCATAGCTATTGGAATTAGCAATATGATCAATCAAAATTTTCTTTATACACTCTTACACAATTATTATCTTATTAATAACACTGGCCCAGAATTTCTACTGGAACTATAGACACAAGAAACAAAAATTGTTTAAGCACTTCTAGAATCCAGGAAAAAGTGATGGACAGATTGGAAACAATAGTAATAATTATTCATCTATCCAAACCTATGGAGTTCGATGCAGTTAAAACAAAATCCTAATCTTAAGTCTGAAAAACAAATATGAACAATCTAACTGGGAATTAGAATAATGTGGGGTATCATTATATTAATAGATTTAATATTTTAATGACTGAAAGTAAAAATAATAATACACAAAAATATTATGGTGTATTTTCATTATTCTTTTTGTACATTTTCACTGTCAGTTTATCATTAGACTAAGACTGAGCTGCCAGATACTAAACATAATATATGTGTTTGGACTAAAATGAAAAATCACCCTGTCAGGTTTTCATGTTAATCTACTCTTACACTTCAGTATACAAAGGTTAAGGAGATTGACTTGTCAAAGATTAAATGATATAATAGATTTGAAGTTAAGATTCTAGTCAAGATTTTTTTACTCATCTCTGGTCATTTTTCTGATAATTCATTGTTGGACTGAGCATAACTAGAAAACATTGTTAGATTACCAGATCTCCACTGAGGTAAAATGTGATTTTTTTGATATATTTTAAATATATGTCAAAACCTTACCTGTTAATTTATTCCAAATCACCCTTAGAGTTCTGCAC